AAAAAAAAAAAAAAAAAAAAAGATCACGGTATAAGTAGATGGACATACCTACCACAAAAATGCTAAAGCTCGGTTCGGTTCTTCTCAAGGCAAGGGCCGGTTTTGGACTCAAAACTTGGGTCGAATATAGCCAAAAAATATAATTAAAAAGGTTTGGTAACGCTCGAAAATAATTCTACGCGATGGAACGACAATATCCGAATGATTTGACTGAGTAAGATTAAATCTAACAACAACGAGCGAACGATTTACGGTTGATAAGAAATAATAGATTTACACAATTAATAAGATTAAATAGGCGAACTCCCATCCAATTACTCGTAGAAGACTAAAACGAAAGCTAACGAACTGGAAGTAATTAAGTAGACGACCACGTCTAACAAATTATTTGACTAAAACGATTAACTCCACGAGTACCTCCAACCAATCGCAGAAGCTTATCGATGATTTGTCGAGCGAAACACTAGAATTAAAAACGAGGCAAATAAACCTAAAATACGCTAACTCATTTAAAACGAATGGGGCGCTACAACACCTTTCAAATATACTCAATGATGTATTTGGCATTTTTCATTCCAATGTCACATTTCTTTCCCTCTGCTACATTTAGGAGTCGAAGGACTTGTTATTATGTTTAAGAAGTCCAGTTTTTATGTTTAAGGTGAAATGGGGATGTTAAAGAAATATTTATATACATCCGTGCGATCCAAATCCTTTCTTCTTGTGGTTGGTGTGACCAAAACCAAGCTTGAACAAAGAATTTTGTGAAACATTAGCATTTTTTAATTTTCTTTTACACAAGTGAAACAATAGCAAGTATAACCAATTCCTTCAAAATTAACTTTTACTAAAATAAATGAAAATGAAATAATTTTCTTCCAAGAGCTTTCCAAAGTCCTATGTCTGGGAGTGTATTCTCATGTCTCCAATCCCACACAGTCCTCCACTTTATTTTTGTATGAATTTCGTAAAGAATGTTTAAACATTGCTATTTTTCTCAATTTGCTTGTACACAAGTCAAACAATAACAAATAAATGCAATTCCTTTAAAATAAACTTTTACTATATTTATGAATTTTAAATAATTTTTTTCCAAGAGCCTTCCAAAGACCTATGTCTGCGAGTATATTCTCATATCTGAAATCTCAGTCCTCCACTAGTTTAAAAAAAAAATGTTTCATAAAGAATTTTTAAACATAGCCATTTCTTTATTTTTTCTTGTACACAAGTCAAACCATAAAAAATATATTCAATTCCTTTCAAAATTGACTTTTACTAATAGTAATGAAAATGGAATATATTTTCTTGCAAGAGCCTTCCAAATATCTTTGTCTTGGAGAATTATCATGACCAAAACTCCACTTTTTTGACCAACCGATTTTCCCGGGCACTTGCCCCTTTCAAAAGACTCCACCAAAAGAGCCCTCATGATCTTTTTGTTGGC